ATCGAGTTTCACCCTGAAGTTCCGTATAGATTTTCTAACCGCATGATTGCGACGAGAGATGTTGTATAGTCCTCGAGATTATTTCCCAGATGGTTTGGATCAGTCTTTAGCGTTTAGACGTTTCTTAGATTGTCGTTTGGTTTTGGGATGATTTTGATGAGGCGTCGCATTGTCCGAATATTTTTGCGAGAGTTTGCTTTATAGGAAGCGTATTCTTGATGCCAGGAAAAATGTTCGACGAAAGAAAAAAGATGAGTGTCCTTTGAAAGATTGGGATGATCGACAATCCGGGTCGATTAAAGACCATGGTGGATTGGTGATGACTTGGAGTATGTCTGATTTACGAAAATTTCTAGGAGCGAGTCGGTTTTAAGAAAACGTCAGCGTCTCTAGCTCCTTCTTTCTTTTAGGAAATGAGATGAGTACGCTCGAATGCGCGGCGATCGTTTCTCGGTTGTACGAGAGATTGGATTGGTTTGCGAGTTATGCCTGAATAGTTAGAGAACAACAAATCGAGATAGACAGAAATTGCTTACGACTTAGCATGCTAGACTATCCCGCTAAATTCTAAGGTCCCTAAGTTTTACGGCAGTTTACATGTCGTTTTCATTCATTTTCTATGAGAAATTAGAAGTCTAATAAAATTTTCAAATCGGTCATACCTTAGTTTCATTGACGATTTGGGATTGTCTATTCTTCTTTCTTCGTCTTTTGACTTATTCTCGTATGAATCGGTCTTCGACGAATTACCAACAAGAGTATCGGAGCGGGGAGAGGACTTAACCATCGGAGTTTATGTTCTTGTTTCTTCATACTGCTGGTTTTACTTAACTGACTAGGTGCGCTTTGTATATCGAAAAATCAATCACGTGTTTATGATTTGATTTTTTCGACTTAGCATGGTAGAGTTTCATAAAACCGGATTGCGTTTAGAGAGTTCAAATCTCTCGTATAGTTTAGGCAACTTTGGTGTTAAGTCGACCGTTGCCATTTTAGATGATTGATTCGAACTTATACGAAAAACAAGTTTTTGCGATTTTTATCGTAAAATCTCGATGGAACTTCCGATTGAGACGAAACGAGAATCAGCACGATCAAGACTCGAGAGAGAAACTCGAGGATTAGTTCAGCTTGACGTAGGGAAAGCCGGGTGAACCCTTTCAGCTCGCCGCAGGGCGAGCTGGTTTGAACGGTTCAGCTCGCCGTACGGCGAGCTGGTTTAGCTTGGCCAGCTCGCCGTGTGGCGACCTGTACGGTAGAATCCTTGGGAAAAATTCAGCGCCTCAAGGGCGAGGTGAAAAGCTGGTCAGCTCGCCGTACGGCGAGCTAGTCTTGAACGATTCAGTTCGCCGTATGGCTAGCTATCTTAGCTTGGCTGGCTAGGTCGCCGTATGGCGAGCTAGACGATAAGAACCCTTGGGGAAAAGTCAGCGGCTGAAGGGAAAGGTGAAAGGCTGGTCAGCTCGACTTACGGCGAGCGGCGAGGTGGAAGGCCGGTCAGATCGACAAGATGGCAAGCTGGGTTGCTTGGCCAACTCACCGTCTTTTCGAGCCAGATAGTATCGCGCTTGTTCCCGTGAGTAACCAACCTAGGGTTCTTCCACGAGCAACCTAGGGTTTTTCTCGCGAGTAACCATCCTAGGGTTCCTCCGCGAGCAACCTAGGGTTTTTCTCGCGAGTAACCCAGGGTTTTTCTTGCGAGTAACCCAAGGTTTATTTTGCGAGTAACCTAAGGTTTATTTTGCGAGTAATCTACGGTTTATTTCGTGAGTAACCTACGGTTTATTCCGCGAGTAACCTACGGTTTATTCCGCGGTTTCGGAGAGAGCAAGTTTTATCTTTCCGATATGTTCTCCGAAAACGTCTTTTGCTCAACCCATACATAATGAGATTTTTCCAAATCGTAAATAACACTAAGGGGTTTGATAGATTTTATCGTTGCCCTTAGTGATCTGAGATAGAAATTGCGAGCTTGTTTTGTTGCTCTTCCCGTGGCGAAAAGTCGCGATTAGGTTTTCGATTTAATTAAGTACTACAACGTTTGCGTGAGCGTTGGCTATAGGAGTAATCGCTTTTCGAGTTGTTCTACCAGCGTTTTTGCGAGCTGCGACTTTGTCTTTCATATTTTCAGACATCGTTTTGAGCAAGCTTTTTGCGGCTATGAGTAAGAGTAATCCGACCCCCCCCCTCCTTCTAGCGGCAAACTGTGGGAACCGAAATTCACACCGTCGATTTCCGTAAAATAAGGAAACTTAGGAAAACCCTAATTTTCCTGAGGACCCGGATCTCTGCGGAAGCCAACGACAAGTAACCAAATAAATGCGGAAAATATGAAAAACATGAGAAAACGAATTTATAAAGAAAGTTGATCTTATTTCGAATTCGCGTAAGAGCGTTGCGATCTTTACAAGAGATTACAAAGGCTTTGGCCGCAGGGGCCGTCAGCGAGTTACCTAGTTCTAGCAACATAAAAGCCTAAACTTAGTCGAGTCGCAGCTCGATAACAAAAGATGAAAAAATAAGAAAAAGAGAGTTTGATTGATTTCGGACTGAACCTTATGAAAGGCTGCCTACGTACCCCTTTCGAGAATCAAGTCGAACGTAGCTCAGTTAAAAGAGCTGGACAAGAGATCGAACTGCCTGGGCGAGTTCGTCTAGTAATTGAGTGCCAGTCATAGAAACCGAACTTGTCGAGATAAAGCCTAGGTTTTTAAGTGCGGAAAAATCTAAGTCTAGAAAAGTTGTAAAAGTCTCAGATGAGAGCTCTGAAATTCATCCCCTGCTTCTGTCCTCTGCATCTTGCTTATATACTCCCTTCCTAGGCGGTTGTCCTTCCATTTCGCCCAAATTCGAGTTTATCAAGAATTTTCCATTTATCTTTATCTTTCTTTTTTTCCTGCGAAAATCTCCTATTTATCCTCAAACTTGACATTTATCTTCAAATTTGACATTTATCTTCTTTCTGCGATTAAATCGTTAAAATCCGTCGTATCTTTGGGCTAGACTTCGTTAAAGTCGTGAGATAGGCTTTTATCGCGTTTTAGGACTTTTCGAGCCCTTTTGCGATAAAACCGTTTTACGACTTTATACGAGATCGTTTCCTGATGCGATAGCATTTTTAAATAAGTTTCTCGAGTTAATCGCAAAGTTTGGCAACGTTTGATGTTTCGGTTAATCGTTGTCGTTTTCTACAATTTGCTCGAGGTTTTATTAAAAACGTGTTTTTTACGATTTTTCACGAAAATCTCGAGTAAATCGTATAGTTAGGCAATGTTCGGTGTTTCGTTTAACCGTTGCTGTTTTATACGATTTCCTTGAGTACTTTCGAGAAAACAAGACTTTACGGTTTTTATCGTAAAACTTGAACGATAGGACGGATCGAGACGAAACGAGAGTCGTTTCAACCATGGTTAAGAACACGATCGAGCCGAAGGACGTATGCATTGAGTCGAGGACGTGGGAGATCGAGGCTCGGGATGCTCAGCTCGACGTACGGAGAACTGTTCGGGGAGTGACCAGCTCGCAGTACGCCGAGCTGGTTTGGGAAGTGACCAGCTCGCCGTACGGCGAGCTGGTTTGGCCGAACGAGCTCGCTGTATGGCGAGCTAGTCTGTTGCCACCTAGCTCACCGTAGGGCGAGCTAGTCCATTGCCACCTAGCTTGCCGTAGGGCGAGCTAGTCCATTTCCATCTAGCTTGCCGTAGGGCGAACTAGTCCGTTGCCACCTAGCTCACCATATGGTGAGCTAGTCTATTGCCACCTAGCTCACCGTAGGGCGAGCTAGTTTGGTCGAACTAGCTGGCCGTACGGAGAGCTGGTCCGGTACCGACTAGTTCGCCGTACGGTGAGCTGAACCGGTTGGTTCGGCTCGTCGTACTTTGAACTTGGTTCGGTCGGACCTGCTCGCGGTTTTACGGCAGATGCGGTTTTTTCGCGGTCTTGCGCTTAACTCGGGCAATCGTGTAATCGGCGTTTGTTTTGTTCGTTCTTCCGAGATGATGATTTCCAAGTTTTCCGCGGATTTCCTTTGTTCGTAAATCTCTTTGAATTTTATTAAACGGCTTCTTGAGTTTTGTAAAACATATTTTTATTTTTACGGAAACTTTTAGCCATTGATTCTGTCGTGACCGATTTTGACACCAACAGATTCGATGTTGTGTTTTGTGATTAGAGAAAATATTTGACTTTTTGTTTTGGTACATCACACTCACACTCTTCATCAACAATGTGATAGATGTAGTTGGACACATGAAGGTGGTTATGGAAAAACTCTCATTGACCATCCCATACTTGACGATGTGGAGATAGCAACCAGCCGGCATTTCTTGGTTCATGTCCAGTCACATGAGTATGTGTTTCCTATTTTTTAATCACCACCTCCATAGACTTCTCTTACAACGTCTGTGTTAATAATTTGCAGCGGATTTTTGTTAAAGCTCTATCTTTGGGACCAGGCTGCACAAGACTTCTGCAAGAAATTCAGATCCTCTGAAAACACTCCAACTGTGCTTTTAGTCACCACCGTCTACCCAAAACGTCTTGGAGGTTACCCTTTTATCACATCATATTTGACATAAACACTATTAGCTCTGACGTAATCTTCTGAATCTCTCCACTTTGTGTCTTTTTCACAGGTGCCCTTGCCTTAACCTCCAGGGCATCCTCACGGGTTTTTATGGACTATGATGTCTAACCAACCATAGATTACTTCAGCTGGTTAGTATTCCTTTATAAACCATTTTGTCTTTGATAATTTCAATTGATACACACATGAAAACTCATTGCAGTTACAGTGAATGAAATTATGCTTTAAACTTTGTTTCAGGTTGGGCTCTAACCCAGAGATTGCTAAGGTGGTTAATGCAGAGGCCGTCACTAAGACTGAGACGCTGACTTTAGAAGAAATATACTCATACATGAAGCAAGAGAATGCAAAGGTACAACTGAATTTACGTATTTCACTCATTAATTAATGCATAGGTTTTGATATCAACTTGCTAATGCCTGTCGCAGGAAGCTTTTTTGAGTGCACAGCAACGATTGATGATGTTGTGCATGGCTCATCTTGGTATTATATTTTCTGTCATGCGTGCCACACTAAGGCTACCAAAGGCCCTACCTTGCTGATGTGCTCAAAATGTTAAAAGGATAACATAACTGGTGTTCCACAGTATGGGCTATAGCCAAAATTTTCAATTACGGTCTCCTTGGTATTGGCTTCTGATTTGACTTTGTAACAGGTATCGTGCAAAGATCTCTGTTTATGACAATAGTGAGCAGGGTGTTTTTGTTCTACTTGGTGATGCTGGTCTTCAGTTTATTGGGAAGCATGCATCAGAATTAGTTGAAAGCTACTATGAGGTAACTAACCATCAGAATATGGTCAGCCTCAAGGTATTTTATCTCATTATTTTACTTTGAATGGTAGACTAATGAAGAACAAGGGGTTGATCATGTGGTGCCTGTTCCACAAGATTTGATTAATGCCATTGGACAAACACATAGGTTCATTGTGAAGGTTTCCAAGCGAAACTTCACAGACAATACTCGAGACATAACTGTCACAGATATCATCTCCAAAGAAGCTCCTCCATCTCTAACCACCTCAGCTGAAAACCCCCATTGCTCCAGCTTCTGATGAAACCTTGCTGTCTGCAAATGATGTGTGTGGACCTAAAAAAACAGTGGAGATACTGGAGATGATTGGGTTAAAAGGTCGCCTGATACTGTTGAGCCAGAGAAAGAAAAACGCCCTAAATCTGGGAATTAGAGTTGTGACTCATCTTATCAAGGATTGCATGCTTCTTTGCAGTTTAAGTTTTTATTTTTCTTCCAGTTCAGTTGTTGACTCACAGTTTCCTTTCAGTTTGCATCTTTCAGAATTTTTCCGTTTTCCAGACAATTTATCTATATCTAGTTTCATCATTTATAAATGCTAATTTCTTATTATCATGATTTTGAAACGATCCTTTCGCCCCTGTTGAGTGCTATCTACTCTTCTTTGTTTATTTGAAAACTGATATCATATAAGCCTAACTGCACTTATGAATTGTTTAAATTTGTTGTTTTTCTTACTAAATCAAAGAATCTTATGTTAGAATAGGTGTAAAATACATGTAATTAATTGATGAGATACATATAATTTATACAGTCCAAATCGATTTAGGAATTTAATACCCGAAAAAATTGAAGTATCTGAAAACCCAAATTTTATCTGAAATCTAACCAAGAAAAACAAAAACTACCAAAAATTTATATAGATACCAAAAATATATTTCTAAAAATTAAAATTTTATACGAGACCAAAAATTATTACCAAAAATCTGAACTCAACACTTAAAAAATATATATAATACCAAAAACCTATTTGAAATAACCAAATATAACTAATATACGCAATTTGTTTTGTGTATTTTAGATGTCCGATTGGGCCTCAGATAAAACGTAAACTCGAATAAAGATCCGCAGGTCCAGAAAATTACCCAATATTTTTTTTTCATGGACCCAACATGTATTTCAAGTCGGTTTCGATTCAATTTTTTGAGTCCAAATAAAATATTGAGACCATAAACTTTAAGAGAGAGAGAGTTACATAAGAACGTACATACAATATCGCAAATACACTAATTCATAAATTATATATATATATATATATTTTTTAAAAATATATTTTACTTCTATATAATATGACTTTGTAAACTAATATTGTATAACAAACCAAAAGTTATTTATAATTAAAAAAAATCGCGCTTTTCAAAGCACATATCAAAATCTAGATATAATATATATTGTAAAAATCACAAATAACGCAAATGCTTGATCAAATTTTACATACAAAGATATTATTCTTATGCAAGTCAAATATAGATTGATAAAATAAATTACATAAAATTTTATGAAAAAACTTAGGCATAGCCCGGAAAAATCTCTAATTAAATTAAAAAAACATGGTTTATGTTATAACTGCGTGTACAAGAGGACTGTGGAGAAAGCAACACGTGTACATTGGCACAGAGATCGAGATGGAACGAGGCGAATATATCTACATGGGTTAAAGTAATAGGCCACATATGGGCCTAATTATATATGCCTTACAACAAACATTCCTGTTATACAAATAGCAAGGAGCCTCGTCCGCCTAAATGGAAAATATAATTAAAGAAAGTTGCTTACCATCAATTGTTATGAGATGCAGATCTCCAAGGTGAAGGTCTTTAAATTCAGATGCTCGGTGATACGCATCGGGTACAATGTTAGAAAGTTTCGACAGAGCATTAAACATTCCTCCACGTCCCCAGTTTCCAGAGTCATCAACACAGCTGTGCCATAAACCAGTATTTGAAACAATCAGAGCTAGTTTTATTAATCATAGAAAATATATGAAAGGCATAAAGTTATTGTAATTGTTATTATATTAATTTTGGAAAAATAAAATATCCATAAATGTAATTTCATTTAATAGATCACTTGGCATAACAATGTAAACATAGTGAAAAACAAACGGGTAATCCAAAATTTGTATTCCCATGTTAATAGATTAGACAAGATTTTGACCCTCACAACCATGCAGATGTTTCTTTCCAAATGAATTGAAGAAGTTGTAAATTATGTCGGTTACGTATTTAGGTTTTGCATGGTGAAAAAATCAAACTGATATCTTAGATAAGTAATTTGTAATTTAATAATTTTATACAAAACATAAAATTTTCTAGTTTTTTTTGTTTGTAGAATATATTCATTTTTTTTAATATATGACGTTTTAGAGAATTAGTTTTACTTCAAATTAGATGACATTTTCAATCTTTAATGTAAGTTTATTCATTTTTCTTTTTATATAATTTTTCTATTTTTCCGCTAGTATTTTTATTTGTTAAGTTATGATTAGGTGAATATTTAATGATGTTTTGGTTCAATAAACTAGATTTGTTTTTTTTTTTTAAATTTGTCTGCACAAATCAAATTTCAAAGTGAAAAAATTGAAAATAGTGTAATTTAGTTGATTATATATATTAGTACATCTATATTTGTAAATACATTTGTTTCACATAAAAAAATGCTTTACATTTGTATAACATATTTTTCTCTATTATATAGATTACAATTTATTTATATGTCAAATTATTTTTCAATTTAGACTTAACGTTTGAACAACATTCTAGAGAATGATATTAAATATATTTAATTTAGCTGTATGATTATAAATGAATTCTAATTTAGGTTTTAAAATGGTATTAATTTGATACAAATTTTTAATAATATTCAAGAACAATCACATATTGTGATATTTTTTTGACATCATCAAAAGAATAACATTAATCATATGTTATGGTTGCATAACATAATACTAAAAATAATATACACGATCATATGTATAATTAATCATATATTATGATTGCGTGCATATGTTTTTTCGGTTAATGACATACCTACAAAATAGTTAATGTCCTACAAAATAAATATATATGTTGTTAATAATTATTAGATTAATATGTTAAAGTATTTTTTATAAATCAGTTAGTATATTTAATTATATTAATTTATTAGTTTTGAATACATATTTCTATTTTAGCATAGTAAACCAATTCTAGATTCTCTTTAAAGATAGTTATTTTTGGTTTATTAGGATATCAATAAGAAATATTTGTGATTATATTTATTTTGAAAACTAAATGATAGGATAATTAAATGTGATGATGTTTTAAAAGAAAGTCCAAAATGCAATAGCACACATGAAAGAAGTCATCACTTCTATTTTAATATATAAGATTAGTTTTGAATACATATTTCTATTTTAGCATAGTAAACTAATTCTAGATTCTCTTTAAAGATAGTTATTTTTGGTTTATTAGGATATCAATAAGAAATATTTGTGATTATATTTATTTTGAAAACTAAATGATAGGATAATTAAATGTGATGATGTTTTAAAAGAAAGTCCAAAATGCAATAGCACACATGAAAGAAGTCATCACTTCTATTTTAATATATAAGATACTAGAGTTTGACCCGCACGTCCCTGTGAGTGTTTTTTCACTTTAATCGAAACACAACTTAGTTTACCAAGTTTCAACTAAATGTCTATGAGAAAAAAAAACTAAGCTCCTCTCTCTCTCTCTCTCTCTCTCTCTCTCTCTCTCTCTCTCTCTCTCTCTCTCTCTCTCTCTCTCTCTCTTTCACCAAAGATAAGAAAACCCTAGATCTATAATACGTTCCCGGCGGCCGGCGGGCGTTTAGCCGTCGGTCTCCACCCCCCCCCCCTCTTTAATTTTGTGTTGTCTTCTCTTTGCCTCTCACCTCCGCTTCATCCCTACCGATATGCTCGTGGTTCTGGGACTTGTCCGTCACCGCGGTTCAGATCTGTCGGTTCTGGTCTTTGGAGGCATGGTGAGGTTGGGAAAGTTGGGGGCTCGAAGTTTCTTTGGTCGTTTGTAGGTGGCGGAAGCTCGATTTGGGGTCCTAATCTGAGTGTTGAAGACAGTGGCCGCTTTCTTTACGCCTCTCTTTCCTTCTTCTCGTCTAGGGCGAGCTCTTCTCGCAGGTCTGCTCCGGTGGTGGGGCTCGGTTTGGGTCTGGGGGAGTGTTTCCTCGGTCTTGGATCTCTCCCCTCTTTAGGTGTCTTTGGGCTTGTCAGACAATCTCGTGGTGTCTCTTCCGGTGAGACCATTGGCTCTGATCTAAGGTTATCTGCTTCAGGTTCTCCGTGGTTGTGGCGCGTCCGATCCCAGCTGGTCTGGGGGGCTCGATCTAGGGCGTGTCACTTACCTTTCTCATGGAGAGGTGCTGGCTTGGTTTGTTTTCTTTGGTTTCAGGTGCAGTGAAGTGGCACTTTTGGCGGGTTATCCTTCCTGAATAACCGCTCTTCTTTTCAGCTCACCGTCTCATGTAGTCTGCCGTGTTGCTTTGCTAGCAATCTCCGGGTGAAGCTGTCAATGTTCTCTATAGCTCCTTTGTGTTGAGGTCATCCTTCAGAACCAGACTCTGGGGATGCCTCATTCTACCGGATCCGATGTTTCTGTGTGATATGTCGACCACCTATTGTGAGCTGCTGTGGATCAGAGACTGCTTCTTGTTAGCTCGCTAGCTTTGTATTCCAGTCTTTTTCTGTGCGTTTGTCGTTGGTAAGGGTGGGTTAGTGTAGTTTTAGTGTCGTATTGTTTAGATTAGTTTCTTGTTCTTGTTAGATAATCATCCATTACTAGTCTCTTATATAATCTCCAGTCACAAATCAAAAATGGTAATAATACTTAACATGTCTAGAAAAAAAAGTTTCAACTAAACTAGGAATCTAACTTTTAATGAATTGACATATATGGTTTTTTTGTTACCTGACTTGACACTCAGCTACCGGTAAGGAGTAATTGTTTTGTCTTGTGTAATAGCTTCAACAACATATTTGGCACATATAATGGCAACTCGCAGTGATTCAAAATTATTTTAAGAGAAATATTTAATTATTTTGGCTTAGGTTTGTCTTCTCACACATTTCACTTATCAGACACTAAAAGAAAAACATGAACAAATCTAGAGAAGCGTAGAACAACATAAATGGATGATAACAATAAATAAACACACACTTGAAGGGCTTAAAAAGTCCTCAAATCTTTCTATTACTAATGACATCTCTTTTATATATTTCTT